GGGACACCTTCCACTAGACCAGGTTGCTCAAAGCCTCATCCAGCCTGGCCTTAAACACCTCCAGGGAGGGGACATCCACAACTTCCTTGGGCAACCTGGGCCAGTGTCTCACCACCCTCACAGTGAAGAATTTCTTCCTAATATCTAATCTAAACCTCCCCTCTTTCAGCTTAAACCCATTTCCCCTTGTTTTGTCATTAAATGCCCTTATGAAAAGTCCTTCCCCAGCTTTCTTGTAGCCCCTTCAGGTACTGGGAGGCCGCTATAAGATCTCCCCAGAGCCTTCTCTTCTCCAGGCTGAACAGCCCCAACTCTCTCAGCCTGTCCTCACAGCAGAGCTGCTCCAGCCCTCAAGTCCAGTGCCTTGGTGAAGGCTGACACTTTAATTTCAAAGGAAGCCACAGCTGCTTCCCAGTGTTCCTTGCTGGCCTCCAGATAGAGTGTGATGATGGTTTATTTTGATTTAAGACATTTCCTTCCCACAGATGCCTCCCCCATCCCTGCCTTAGCTGAGCAGGTCCTACAGGTGTAGAGCTTTGCCTCTGCCATGCAGCGAGGAAAACTCACTCCCCAGCCACCCATGTGGGTGTTGCTGTTTGCAGTGGGGCTTCTGGAGATCTCTGACACGGTATTTGTGGGGCTTTTGTGGATGTTTAATGGCAACTTACTCCGAATCACTCAGCTGCCGGTAACACGCTCCCCGTGATGGCTCACAGGCACTCCCCGCATTCATCGCTCACACCCAGCTGCATCTGGGGTGGGACGTAACAGACTGAGGAGTGAAATACTGGAGCCACAGACCAGAACAGCCTTTACCAGCAGGCATGCAAAAATAGGATTTGTCTGTCATATCAGCCCTCTGAGCAGAGGGACACGCAAGGATGCTGTTTCCTCAGACTCTGGCTGGAGCAGTTGAAAGGAAGCCCTCCCCTCTGCACTGCAGACTGCCCTGCCACCCCTCCATCCCCTCCTGCTACAGCCATGCAAGCGCTTGTTGGGCTGTGCTGTCAACTCAGTTACTGAAATGATCTGGGTTAAAAATAACCTTGTAAAGAGTTAAGGGAAGTATTTTTAGCCCAGATCATTTCAGTGATCCAGTTTACCGCACAGCCTCACAAACTCACACTGGCACAAGGGAGGGGGGAAGGAAAGGTCAAGGGAGAATTAAGTAGTTGAAAACATAAGCTGTCTTTCTGCCAAAACCAAGACCTTATGAAACTGCACCCCAAAAGCACTGACCCTCTCTCGTTTTCACCTAGCACATTGACAACTCCCTTCTCGGGGTGCAGCGGTGAGAGCTGGGTGCTGAGGAGCGCTATTTCTGGATCCTGGTTGTGTAATTGAGACCCTGAGCCTCGGCTGCCTTATTGTATCTGCCTCTGACACAACGTGTCTGTCATTATTTTTGCTGGATTTGCTTTTTGTGAGGTAGATTGTGTGTGCAGCGATGAAAAAACCCACCAAAGGTGCAGGGGAGCTTTGCAGAGCTTGTGTGAGTGACCACAGGTTACAGGAGGGTGGCGGGCGTGAGGGGCTGGTGTGAGAACTGTCAACAGGGAATCACAGAACCACAGACTGGTTTGGGTTGGAAGGGACCTTAAAGCTCATCCAGTTCCAACCCCCCTGCCATCAGCAGGGACACCTTCCACTAGACCAGGTTGCTCAAAGCCTCATCCAGCCTGGCCTTCAACACTTCCAGGGAGGAGCAGCCACAACTTCTCTGGGCAACCTGTTCCAGTGTCTTACCTCCCTCACAGAAAATAATTTCTTCCCCATATCTAATCTATCTAATCTATCTATTATTTTAATCTAAACCTGCCCTCTTCCAGTTTAAAGCCATCACCCCTTGTTCTATCACTACCTGCCTTTGTAGAAGGAATTGTTCCTTTGAAGCTCTTTAGAAGCAAGGGAGGGATGTAGAAGCCAGGGATTGACCTCAAAACCATGTCTAGATACAGCTGCATGAGAATAGGGATGCAAAGTGCACAGAACCAGCACCATCAGTCGTGTAACAGCCACTGATTTCATAGCCGCTGAATACTCCAGCCTCACAACGTGCTGAGAAGGGTTTGCACCTCAGATAAAAGGTGTTCTGTCTGGCCAAAGGATCTTACCTGCAAAAGCAGATGAGTCAGAAGATTCACAGGGGAGGGAAGGAGAGTTAGGGCAGCACAAATCTCTGCTGTTATTCAGCTGGTATTTAAGTGCTGCTTAAGCCAAAACATTCCTCTGTATGCAGCTAATAGACCTTTGCTCTTTTCATCAGCCAAACCAGGTGCACAAATCCAAACCTGAGCTTCTCCTTCAGTATCTTCTTCTGACCCCCATTGGTACCCTTGCAGACTAGTATTTCCAGTAGCATGTTATGGACAGTAGGATACTGATCCCCTGAGATGGAGTCACGATATCTGTCAGTCGCAAGTGGGTAGATCATGACCAAAACGGCTAGCTGAGGGCTGCCAGAGATGATTTTGCAGCAGTCCCAGCAGGACATTTAAATTCATCTCCAAAGCCACCTTTAGCTTTCCAATTTTCCCCAGGAGTCTTCGCAATTTTTTATTTCATAAGAAACTCATTGTCTGAGTGACACCTCCGACCTCAACTCCATGGTCTTCAAGAAAAGCTCTCTGTGAGTACCAAAGTGGGTTGCACAGAGAAACTCTTCAGTCTCTCGGCCTCTTTTCTGTGGGCCTCTGCCACACACCTTCTTCCACCTGGTGCCCACGGTGGCTCCATGGGCTCTAGCAGGGGAATTGGCAGATGTCATTGAGCAAGGTAATGACATCGCTGTGCTGAGGGGTCCCCTCTGTGAGATGTTACTACTCCCGTACCAGGCAGCCTCACCACTCCGAGCATCTTCTGGCACATTAAATCACCGCTGAGGTTGGACTGTGCTAGCCAGAGCTGACTGTGCCACAGCATCCAGGCATCTCAGAGAGCTTCCCAGCTGCCTTGGAATGACACAGCAGGGATGGCTGTAGGGATGGAACATCTGTGTGAGGACACAGTGGTGTTCCCACCAGGCAGCCTGTGGGAGAAGCAGGGATCTCTGCTAAAAAGTGTGGCCCACCTTCAGGCAATGTGAAGAATCAGGGATCAGTGGGCAGTGCTGCTCTCACAACAGAGGCAAGGAGTCTAAAGCAAAGAAGGAAAGGCTTTGGTGGGAAACTTGAATTGCCATGATTCCTCTAATAAAGGCAAAACTTTCTTCTCCAGTGCTGCCAAAGGGACCAGGGTCAGTTTTAAAAGCGGGTGAAGAAACACGGAGTTGAAAAACATTTTCAGATTTACTCAAATGTATAAACTTATTTGGAAGAGGAAAGTGAAACCCCTTACAGAGAACTTGCTAGTTACACTTCCTTTTTGGCAGATACAGGGCCAGGCTGACAGTGATGGTGTAATTCAGTTTCTGTTTTGCTGCTCTGTCTGACATTTTCCATAACACACAATGCTTAAACACTTGTTTTTATGGAACAGGAAAAGACCTCAGAGCAGCAGTCACCAAATTACTGATGGAATAAGCCTTTTACCTGAGCTCACTGGTTTTTGTCCATGCAGGCTGACCACACTTCTCTTCTGAAAATAAAAATAATCAGCACTTGGCTGCAAAATTCACATCTGAGTTATTTCATCTTTTTTTGCTAAAAAAACAAGAGCAGAGCTGCTCCTCCTCATCATTTGCAAAAGTGGTGGGTTGTGTCACCAAGATGGGGAAAACGCCCAGGGATGGGAGAGGTTGTGTGAATCTCACATGTCAGGAGAGAGCCAGCTCTGCAGTGAGGGAAGCAGACGCATGTCTTCGTGGTGGAAGAGGCTGAGGGCTGGTCCATGCTCTGAGGTGAGAATGAGAAAATGAGGCTTCCCACCTTCTTCCCAGTGGGAGGGAGACTGCCAGTCCAGCCCCTGGAAGTCATGGGGATGGCATTCTCCTTGCAGTGCAAGCAAGGGAACTTTTTGCACCCGAGTGCCCTGATACAGCACATTCCCTCGGCGAGAAGATATAGAACCTGGCACACCAGCTGGGGTGGGGGCGGAAAGAAGGTGTAGAAAAAGCTGGAGACAGGACAGCAGTGTAATTGCCAGAGGGATCTGAGAAAGGCCTTTTCCTGTGGCAAAACGCATGGCGTAATCAGAGAGTGTGCAGCTGGCAGCTTGAGGAGGACACAGCCCGTGGGCTACTTGTGCTAATCTTAGAATGGCATGTTCACTGCTTCCTGCGCCCGGCCGGCGAGCTCCACGCTGGACACAGCCGCCCCGCAGTCAGGGTCTGCTACCAGCAAAACAAGGAAGGAGTGGAATCATTCCAGCCTCACAGCTTTGATCAGATCCAGAGAAAGGGAGCTGTGTTTTCAGGCTGGAACTCAAAAACAAAAAAAGGAAAGAAAAGAAGAAAACACAACAACCCCAAAACATGAGGTCAGAAGGTCAAGAGGAAATGCAGTGTCTTTTCTGGGTAAAGGCAAAGGGTTGTGAAAGAAGCTCTTGGAGAGAGAGGGACTATGAGGGAGGCCACCCTTCCACCACAGGCACCTGCAGCTCACAAAATCCCAGCATGGTCAGGGTTGGAAGGGACCTCTGGAGATCATCCAGTCCAACCCCCCTGCCAAAGCAGGGTCACCCAGAGCAGGTCACACAGGACGGCATCCAGGCGGGTTTGGAACATCTCCAGAGTTGGAGACTCCACACCCTCTCTGGGCAGCTCCTCAGCCTCAACTGAGTCCCTAGTTCAGGTGTCCCTTCTGCCATGCCCAGGTATCCTGGGAACCTCACAATCCATCCTGCCTTCCTCAGATGTGTTCTCTGCTCCCTCCTCCTCCAGCCTGCCCTCCCTTCCCAGCAGGGAGCCAGCCCGCAGCTGGGAACAAATGGGAACCGCCCCCCCTCCCCACTTAGCCCAGCCATCATTTTTTGCCCTGCTGATCTGCTTCCCTCGCTGTTTCTTCTGTTCCCCTCATCTGCCACTTCCCCTGCCTGTGATTACTCTAATGAAGGCTGAAAAGATGGAAGGAAAGTGCTAGAAGTTCACAGCTTGATAGAGCTTTTGTGGCTGGATGCAGGAAAGCTGGTCTGAAGTGTTTGGCAAGTTTAGGAGATGTAGTCAGGACCGTGGAAAAAGGGAATGGCAGATATCTACTGGGGCTTGTGGGCCTGGGAGAAGGAAGATAACATTTGTTGGGAGCTACAGCTGCCTGAGAAAGGGAAAGGCCCTTTTCCACAGGCAAATAGGCCTGAGCCATGCTGCTCTGTACCAGGTATTTCAGACTAGAGATTGCTCCAAGCTGCAGTATGACTTGGGCTGATCCTTAGTGGAACCTCCTTGATTTGCTTTTAATCTAGAAACTAGGAGTCTAAATAAATTCCTTCTTTAATATGATTTCAAGTTTCCACAGGTATTTATCCAGCGCCTGTAGCATGGTAACCCAGAGGAAATGGTCCATACATGGGCCAGGTCAGTGTTTTGAGGGCCTTTCACCTCCAGTGATGCTCATGGAAATGGCCTCAAGTTGCACCAGGGGAGGTTCAGATTGGATCTGAGGAAAAACTTCTTCACCCAAAGGGCAGTCAAGCATTGGAACAGGCTGCCCAGGGAGGTGGTGGAGTCACCTTCCCTGGTGGGATTTAACAGACAGGCAGACGAGATGCTCAGGGACATGGTTTAGAGGTAGAATTGGCAGTGTTGGGTTTATTGTTGGACTCGATGATCTTAAAGGTCTTTTCCAACCACTACAGGTCTGTGATTCCGTGATATTCTGTAAAGGAGTGGTTGTGTTAACAAGACAGCAGGTCCCTCCCAGGCAGAGCAGTGTAAAGGGAGGAGGAAGGGCACTGCTGGGGCCTTTGGAGAAACAGAAATGTGTTCCTCTAGCAACAGCCTTCGGGGAAGGTTTTTGACTGAGAAACAGAAGAGTATTGAGGGAGAGGGGTGAGAAGTGTGGTGCTGGTCATGTGTTCGTGGCAGTGGTGCAGGGAGCAGAGGTATGAGGTTCCTTGCCGATGGTTTGTAGCCTGGTTTTGTTGTTTTGAGGTCTCCACCTCTAACGAAACAAGGATTGTTGGTTAGTTCTTCTCAGTTCCTCTGGTTTGGTTTTCCCTGGCATCAGATACTAGAGATGAAGAACAAAGGTTTCCTTTCATCAGCTTTGATTTCAAGACTTTCTACTTATATTGCTTGATACCCACATAGCAAAGAAAACAAGGTACATGTGGGATGACACCAGGGTTGTGCGCCGTGGGAAGAGCTGCACCACCCAGTCTCCAACAAACCTCCTGCTTCTCAGCTTCTTGTCAGCCCAGGGAAGGAGAAGCTTCTCTCAGCCCTGGTATTTCCTTCCTCTCCCCCACCCGCCTGAGTATTTCACTGCCAAAAAAGCAGAACAGCACAGGGACATCCCCAAGCAGATGCTGGCTTGCTGCGAGGACAGGGGATGGCTTCTTGCAGCAGAACCACTGGAAAAGGAAAGGCACTGGTGATCAGGGTGGAAAACAGGGATGGGAGGGCTGAGGTAGTGTGTGGGAACATCCTTTATCTGCTCACTGTGAGGAAAAGATGGGGAACAGATATTTGGCTCGAATTAGTTGGCTTCCAGTGAAAAATACTGAGTGTAGGCTCTTCAGCTAGAGCTGAAAGGCTCTGTGGGATTTACTGTTTTTTTTTCTGGGATATTTGAAAATGCTGCTAGGTCCTGTCTTCCCAAACTTCTTGCTCTCAGAGTGGATGATTGATGCCAGATGTGAGAAACTCTGCTGCAACTCCTTGCTTACTCTTGAACTTTATAACACATGTGCAGGCTTCTCTCTAGCCTGTTTTCTTTTCCCAGCCTTTGCTCATAACTTCTTGTTCCCAATTTGTCAGAACAGGCCAGCAGAGACCAACTCAGAGGTGGACAAGTCACCATCACCCTCAGTGGCTCAGCTAGCAGGGAAATTCAAAGAGCAAGCAGCCAATATCACTGGAAAAGAGGTAAGGAGCTCTGGAGCCACCAGCAGGTAACTGGGTGGGAAATGAGGCGCTTGCCTCTGCCTGTGGAAGTTAGAGCATCAGTGATCTGAGCATGAATCCACCTGGATTCTGAATCTTTGCAAAGCATTTGTCTCCTAGTGCGATGAAAGCTATGGCAGCATCTCCCATGCGACAGGACAACCAGACACTGTGAGTGAGACACTGCAAAGGCAGGTAGTGTACACCTGGCTCCCTCACAGCAGCAGGCAGCAATGCAGGTACTACCTGGGCTGGCTTTTGTGGGCAAAGGGCAACAATGAATAATGAAATAACGAATACTGAGCCACAGAAAAAGAAAGCAAACACCAGATTGTGCAGGTGTAGAAGCCAGTGGTGGGTCATAAGCACTTTGTTCACAAAATGAGGTGGTTTCCTTCCAATACTGCCTTCTTTACAGGTGTGAGAAAGCAAGCTGTCTCTTTACTTGCCCTCATTACCTCTTCCCAATGACATTTCAGACTCTGTGCCCATCTCTATCATGCTGAAACTTTATTTTACTGAAAGCCCACTATGCCAAGCATTGCCTCACGAGTTGTCTTTCACCACGTAAGCACAACACTAGAATACCTCTGCTAGAAGGGAAAATGAGGGTGTTTATGGATGGAGGATGACATTTTAAAAGAGCCCCCTGTATCACTGTGCACTTTTTTAGGAGTGTAGATGTTTTGTGGTGGCCCTTTTCAGTCAGTGGGTGCCCCTGTAAAACTGAACTGCTTCCTTCTGCTGCCCAGCTGATTTCAGCACATCCCAGGCTGGGCCTAAGGGGATCCTCCCTGTCACCCCTCTTGCCTTTGGCTGGATGCAGTGGTGACCTCTGTCCTGGGGGGCTGGCATGCCACCCTCTATCAGAGGTTAGCACCCTCATAGCTGGGCCCCAGGATGGGAATAGCCAATCTCTTCCCAAGCACTTTTGTTTTTTCCCCACTAGTCACCAGCACACCACTCCATCCATCCCGTTACAGTCATTTCCTCTTTTTAAGGTATGGGATTTAATTGCACTAAGTCCTTCAGCCTTAAGAAAGCAGCAAGTTCCCAGCCCTCTCTTGTGTTATCTGCAGACCTCTGCTGCTCCCAAGCCAAGGCAGTGTGAAGGGGCCTCACAGGAGGAAACTCAATTTCTCCAGAGACAGAGGAGGACAAAGTTTCCTGTCTTTTCTCTCCAAGCCATCTGTCACTTCCCCAACAGCTTTCTCAAGCTGGCTTCAGATTAATGGCTGAGTGGATGGTCTTTAACCCTTGCTTGACCCATGCCAGCAAAGGGGAACCTATCAACCAGGGAGCCTCTGATACATTCACTGTGGCACAGCAGAGCATTTCCTGGTTGCAAAATGGTGAGGTTTCAGCAAGACCTGATATTATTGCTTCCTAGTTTGAGGTAAGGGGAAGGAAGGGCAGGGCTGCCCTTAGCTGGTTAGAGATGCAGCATTGCCATGGCTGGGTGCAGCACCACCAGAAGTTAAGTGACATCAAATCTATGTGTCCTCCAAGATGCCAGAATCCAACTTTTCCAATGCCTGCCTGTTAGAAAGTAACAAAATTATCCAAATACAATATAATAGAATCATAGAATCATAGAATGGTTTGGATTGGAAGGGACCTCAAAGCTCATCCAGTTCCAACCCCCCTTCCAGCAGCAGGGACACCTTCCACTAGACCAGCTTGCTCAAAGCCTCATCCAGCCTGGCCTTCAACACTTCCAGGGAGGGGGCATCTACAACTTCCTTGGGCAACCTGTTCCAGTGTCTGACCACCCTCACAGTGAAGAACTTCTTCCTAATATCTAATCTAAACCTCCCCTCTGCCAGTTTAAACCCATTTCCCCTTGTTCTGTCATTAACTGCCCTTATGAAAAGTCCTTCCCCAGCTTTCTTGTAGCCCCTTCAGCTATAAGATCTCCCCGGAGCCTTCTCTTCTCCAGGCTGAACAGCCCCAACTCTTTCAGCCTGTCATTGTGGATATTATCCAAGATGCACAATATTACCCGAGTATTTTGACTGTTAACACACAAAAAGTGTCTTAACAGCTTGGCAAGAGACTACAAGCCTGGCATAAAAATAGAGACAGCTTGTTGTCAAGACCAGAGCAATAGGTATGAAGGAACAACTCCATAGTGCTGTGCTATGTGCTTCCTACTGAGCACTCTGTACTCAGAGCCTGTGGACATTTAGAAGGAACCAGTGTCCTTGCTGTTAAGTTGCCTTGTTCCTTCTCCCCTGGAGAATCTGTTTCTTAGTGAAAAAAAGTGTTGCAGCTGAGGCCTTGTCTCTGCCAGCTGCTCTTCTTCATTACAGAGAAACAAATGGGGCTGTAGGGACATGTTCAAAAAGTCTGAATTCCCTTTTTTGCCCCTAAAATATATCAGATGCAAAATAGGAAAATCATGAACCAGGTAGGCAGCTGAGACTTATTAAAAGGAAATCCTGGTAATAAGACAGGAAGGAGAACAATAACAAGCTATTCCAGTCTGAGGGGGTTTCCAGCAGGATGCTTTGAAGATGAAGATTCTGAGAAGACTTCTCTGCTCTCCACAGCTTAGAAGAGCATCCTTTGCACAAAGCCTGAAGTCTCATGGTACATGCTGGGCTTGTACCAGCATGATTGTGCTCAAGATGCTGTAAGCACACCTAGCCTGCTGGCCACACACCCATATGCCAATATCTTGTGCTGCTTTTGGATGTTTCCTTTAGGCAAGCTGAGCCCTGCCGTCCAAGGAGGCCACTTTCAGAGCATGCCCTGGGTGCTTGAATTTCAATTATTTTATCAAAAAACCTGATTTCCCTGGTGCTGAGTGGGTTGTTTTCTTCTCTTAGGTACCACCACATAAGCCAACTCGGAGGAAACCACCATGCTCCCTTCCTTTGTATTCCCACAAAACTGAGACAAGTGACAATGATGAGCAAGTGAGTATCAATTTAATACAGTGACAAGGTCTCTCCTCTCTGCAACCTCTTCTCTCCTGAGACACGAGCTAGGAGGTAACGGAGAGGTCAGGCTGTGCAGCAAAAGACATCAGTCATGCAGCATCAAACCTTCCCCTGCTCACACACACACCTACTGACTCAGAGTCAGCTCCACGCCGTTTCCCACTCCACGCATGGACACATGTCCCATTTCTGCTGCCTTTGGTTTTACCCTTGAAGCACTGACAGATCCACCCAGTTACCACCTTTCAAGCATTTTAAAGCAGGAACTGCTGGCATTTGTTAGATTTGAACAGCACTTAGCACAGGGAGCTGTTTGTTGCCTTCAGATGAACTCAGAGGTTTGAGGTATGATGGCCTAAAAGTTCTGCTCTTGAGATTTTTTTTATTCTTCAGAAAAAGGGGATAATTAATCCAGAGTGAGAATTTTAACCTGTCTGGTGCTGAAATAATACCAGGGGAAACTGTGTCATAGATTAGACACTGTAGTGAAGGCCATTACACGTCACCTAACTCAGATACTTCAGCCAGAAAGCAGACGATCACTTTTTCTCCTGAAGGAAGGACACATGTATGTAGAGCCCTAGGATGGCTAAATAACAAAAGGGGAGCAGGATCAGGAAAGAAGAAAGCAAACTTTTGTGTGAATATGCTATTGGAGCCTTCATTTGCTGCTCTACTTATTTGCTCTTCCTGCTTATCTCTTGCAAACCTTCTGCTTTCATTGTATTTCCTCTTTTTCACTTACTTTACTGTGACTTTTCATGTTTCATTTTGTTTTGCAGAAACGATCTCCAAATACTTGCCCCATTCCCAAGGTCAAGGTGAAAAGCTCTCCCATGATTGAAAAGCTGCAGGTAGGTCCTGGAAGAGCCCACGTGGCTGCCCCAGCAAATTAAAACTGGTTTATTACATTAAAGCTGGCATTTTTCATGGCTACTTCCCTTGTGGAGCAACCACAGGGGATCCAGGAGCCAAGGGTGACAGCTAGGTAAGCAGGGCAGTGGCCTCACCGATGAGGGCCCAGTCCCACAATGCACAAACAAGGAAGGCAGAGGAGGACTGGTGATGGTAACCAGGGTCAGAAACAGTCCAGCAACCTTCAGACACGTCCATAGGTGGGTCAGTGCGTGGGTCAGGATCATCTGGATCTGCAGGGTACACGGCTGGGCATGGGCATGGCAGCAGCATGGTTCGGGTATGGAGCAGGGGCAGGAGCCTGAGCTGAAGTGCAGCTTGCAAGAGAAAGTGAGGGAAGCCCTGGCTGAAACATCTTCCAGCTCTTTCTTCGCAGCAGTCTAAATCAAACTGAGTCACCTGCACCCTACCAGGGAGCTGGCCTTGCGCACAGCCAGATCCAACCCTGGCAGCGAGGCGTGTGTTCCAGGCTCTGGCACTCCCCTACGCGTGCCTAGAAGCTCCGCGCTTCCCTTCCCTCAGTTCCCCCAGTTACACACAAACACACCCAGTGCTTTTTGCCCTTTTTCTCTCTCACAGCAGCCCCTGACTCATGCTGCTGAGGGCAGCTCAGCACTTTATAGCCCACACAGTGCCCAGGAGCTGCCAGCTGCTGCTCCTGGCAGCACGTGCGACTCGCGAGCACGGTGCCTCCTGGCCACCCAACACAGCGTAATCCTGTTCATAGCACCGTCCCTCTTAATGCACTCAAGGACATTTGCCTACCAGACCTTCTTAGTGACAGGCCAGCAGGAAGTGTTTGACACAGTTAATCACAAACTTGGTTCTTTCCATGGTTTTCTCACTCCTCACCACTGTGCAGATCATGCAGAAGACCCGCAGATCAGGCTTGAAAATGCAAAGTCTGCTTGGGCACACACAGGGATGGTTTAAATCACCAAGTGATTGCTGGCTGCTTGTTCAAACTTTCTCCCAGCTCAGCCAGTGTAGACTGTGCTGGCTTGGCTGGGTCACTGGAAAATCCCAAAAGGCCTCAGGATGACAAAAGGACACGTCCTGAGGTCCAGCTGCTGGGGAAGGGCAAATATCCAGTCATAACTTCTCTGCCTGGACTTGTTTGTTGACAGTGTCACCAGGAGAGACCCATAACCAGTAGGTATGTGGGTTGTGACAGCTGAGAGATGTGGCAGCTCCAGTGGCAAGAGTAAGGGTTCCCCTGTGTGTTTACTGCCTGTAGTGTCACGCACGTTGGTGTCACGCACATCAGTGACAAGGATTTTTCTTTGCAGGCCAATCTGGCTTTTGCTCCAGCTGCTCTGCTGCCCGGAGCATCTCCCAAAAGCCCAGGTCTGAAACCCCTGGTGTCTCCGTTCAGCACCCCTCCCTCAACGCCCAGCAGCCCAGGGATTCAGTCCCAGCCCAGTGAAGCAAGTGAGACACCGGTCAGCTTTGATCAACCCCCGGAAGGCACTCAGCTGCAGTTCTATAACAAGGTAGGGTATGTGCTAGGATTTCTCCATCGTAGCAGGACAAAGCTTACTTATCACTTGGGGATGAAGAGGAAGAGGAAGCCATAGCCCTCAGTCCTGCCATACCAGTGTGCATTTGTGGCCAACAGAGATCTGTGCGCTGGGTTCAAAACAGCTTTTCAAGTGCACCTCTCTGGAGCCTCCTCTCTGCACCCTTGCACACAGATCTTGATGGTCCAGCAGCTCCAGTGGCCTTCCTGCCCCAGTGGCGAAGGGAAGGGGTGAAGTGGCAGGACTCAGTCGCTTCAGCTCAGCAGTAACAGGGTGGCTGGTACCTGGGCAGGGAGCACTGTGAGGAGCTGGTGCCACGTGCCTACAAATGTCAAAGGTGGCTGAGGCACAGTTTGGGGAGCCACACAGAACGTGACTTTGCCAGGTGTCCCACAGAGTGCAGAGCACTTGATGAGGAACTGTAACCTGCATTCACCATCATCAACTGGAGCACAGGCTCCATCCTCAACCACCAAGCTGCCAAAAGTAGAAAAGGCTGAGATACCCAAAGTCAGCAGCGTCTGCATCATGAATGCAGCATCCTTGGGTGTAGGGTCTAACTTGGACAAGGAGCCAAAGTTTAAATTGGAACACTGCTCTCCAACACCATCTTTACAGAAGGAAAGGAGGCATATATTAGGGACCTGCTTGTCCTATAAAGTAGTCTCTCAGCAGCAGGGTGCCCTCTTCTCCCTACTTCTCAGTAGCAGAGCAGGAAAAAGTGAGGCCACCAGCGTAGCAATCAAGTTTCCCATGGTATTTTCCTCTGTTGTGCTTTCCTGCTTTCCAGTACCACTCTCTTGACTGCTTCAATGTCTGCTTTTCCTGCCTCCAAGGTGCGGACACGGGGATCGATAAAGCGCAGGCCTCCCTCCAGGAGGTTCCGAAGATCTCTGTCCGAGTATGGAGATGGGGAAGATTTAGGGGTTAACATCTCTTCTCCAGAAAATGGTGCCAAGGAAGATGGGGATGAGGTGTTTGGGCCCAAGGGCAAGAGAGAGGAGGCAGAAACAGGGAGCAAAGAGGAAAAGAAACAGACAGGGTCTGATGAGAAGCCCTCATCAAGGAAAGGATCCAGCAGATCAGAAGATGAAGAAAAAGGGGACAAACAGGCAGAGGAAGTGACTCCTTGCAAGAGTAACACAGGGGATACAAAGGAGGAGGTGTGTCCTGGTGCCCCAAGGGAGGAGAACTCTCCCCAGCTTCCTTCTGGAGACAAGGAAGAGAAGGTGTGTGAGGGTCCCCAGGGAGAAGAGCAGCAAGGCAGTGCCTGTGAACAGGAAAAGGGGGACAAGGAGAAGGAAGAAGCCAAAACTGAAGCTGAAGCTGAAGCAAAGGAGAGCAGTGAGAGTACAGATGCACGGAAAACGTCAGACACTGAAGAAACACCGCTGGCACCTGAAGCACTGCAGGACGCAGTGGGCTTAGAGACTGCCAGTGAGCCTTCAACGTCGGCCGCGCAGAAGAGCACAGCGTAACCGTGACGCACAGGTAAGGTGGGTCAGCATGATGGTGGCTCCTAAAATACCAGAGGGTTTTGCTTACTAATGAAAATGGCACCTGTGACAGAACACACCAACATTTCTGCTGCTCCCCACACCTCAAGAGTATCACATCTCAGGCCTGCAGAGCCTGTTTAAAAGAACCAGCCCTCCTGCGTGGTGTTACAGGGAGAGAGGATGGAGAAGAAGCAAAGCCCATTATGGCTTCAGTAAAACACAGAGGCTGTGCTCACCAGGCACCCTGCTCAACTGCTGTTTTGGAAGCAGTTTGAAAGTAGTTACAGTAAAAAGCACTTTCCCCCACCAGTAACCATGTATATACAATCTCAATATCATAGAATCATAGACTGGTTTCCTTACATACACATATTTATATGTATATGTGAGCACACATTGTATATATACATGTGTACATATATTCTCTCTCTCTGTTAGCTTTGCCAGCAAATACATTGTTTGCACACTTACCAGTTTCATGCCCAGCCCTGGAAGCATGCAGACACGGGCCTCTGCCACTTGAAATGGAAGAGGATTCCCACTGGCTAAAGCAGGGCTTGTTCCATGTAACTTGTGTGTTCTCTAACCACCGATAACGCAGTCACAGATGCCTGAGGAAATATCTCATCCCACCTCAACCACCCGTCCCCTCTTCCAACGCCTCCTTGGTTTGGCAAGGAGCAACCGAAGGGGAGCAGGATGGTGCTCAGGCTGCAGCTTGCCTTTGCCTCCTAGCATGGAAACAACCAAAGCACCCCCCAGGTCACAGATTCTCCAGGATTGTAATTACTTAGACCAATGTTCATGGTGCTTCAGCTAATCACAGTAATGATTATTTTTATTAATTTCCTTACTTTTCCCCCCTCTCAAAAGGACATAGCCAATCAGGGCACAGGAGATTTAACATGGGAATAGGAGCCAACTAACCTAATCAAGGTGGAAGCTACTGGAAGACCTTCAGTGGTAGGAGAGGAGCAGAATACGGATATCTCCTGAGGTCTGGACTCATCCTGGAGCTGAGTGGCTGCTCACTGGCTCTCTGCTTTGCACCATCATGTTTTGGGACAGTCAGAACAAGAGGCTGGCTTGCAATCACTTCGGAGTTTAAAACTGAGGTGTTGGCTGATGTTCCTTGGTGATATCTGGGGACTGAGAGACCTGCTACGTGCTGTCCTGGAACCAACAGCCACCACCACTGCTGGGCCCTCTGCTCCTTCATCCTGCTCCAAAATGTCTTTTTCTTCTCCCTCGCATTGCTCTTAGGTGAAGTTCATCAGTTACATACATACATGTATGGTGCCTTTTTGGTGCCTTATGGTGCCTTCAAACTTCTTTTGAAACATTTTGGGTTTTCAGATTTCAGTAAATAATGTTTTAACAGTAGGAAAAAAAAAAAGTATGTTTTCTCTATATATGCTGGATGGCAGAGAATGTGAAACCCTAAACACGATGGCAGACAATGTGAACCCTAAACACGATGGCAGACAATGTGAACCCTAAACACGATGGCAGACAATGTGAACCCTAAACACGGGGAAAACTCTTAGGATATTGTTCATAAAGCACAAAATCTGTTTGAAGTGGGGGTCGAGCTGTCTGATCTGTGAAACAGGCCAGCCAGGGTGGGCAATTTTTCTGTGTGCTTCAACTTTGGGTGTTTTTAGTGCTGGTGGAAAGTAACAACCAACAGATTTGATGCACAGAAAAGATGTGCTGCATAGAACCATAGGGCAAGTTTTCTTCTCTGGCTCTGTGCTCCAGCCCAGATTTAGAAGGGCCACCTGTCCATCAGTCTTTCTCACTTCCAGACCCTATCCAATCTTTGGGTTCTCTTTTGAAATTTACAGTGTGTGGCCACTGAGTGCCACTCATGATAGAAAGGATCAGAAACATCTGATTAATTTTATATACCTCAAAGAAGAGGTCTTAGATGACTAAAGTTTCAGTCACGTGGCCTGACCGAATGTTAACTGGTGAAGGACAGATAACCAGTACCTCCTAAGTACTGAGGCACCGGACTAGATCTCCATTCACTCTTGGGGCACTGGTTAAGTCACAGGTCTGGAAGTGGAAAAGCCAAAAAAGCTTTTGCATCTGAAGAGTATTTGTTGCCTGTAAGAAATAAGTTATGCAGGGAAAGATGGATAACGGACCCTCACCTGACAGTACTGCTTGAAGCTGTATCCTCAGTACTGAATAAAAAGCTGCTGTGGCTCAAGGCCATGGGGCTCATGTCCACAGCGGGACATGGAGCTGCGGATAAGTCTGGTTCACTAGAAACAGACTTGTCAAAAGCTGAGCAAAGGAGGCATCTAGCTGTTAGGTGATGTGAATGGTCAGGAGCCAGTGCTTGAACTTGCCACCAGCCACCTAGTACCCAGCAACACAGACACAGCTACAAGGACCAAGGGCAGAACCAGCCAGCTCTTCTTCATCCACCACAAAGCTCCTCCTTGCAAGCCTTAAACTGAGCAGAGTCAGAGGCTTGGGTTGTCCCTGTCTCTTTGGACAGGCAGAAGCATTTTACATGACACAGCCCACGTCCACCCTTCAGTGGGCTCTGCAACACAGCAGCGTTACAAAGCCCTTTCTGTCCACCAGCCCTAAAATCGCGAGGAAAGAAGTGGCTTCGTGCCCTGCCAGGTGAGACCACGGAGGTGTCATTTGCTGAGAGCCAGGGTGTTTCCCCTCCTTCATAGCACAGGCTTGTGGTGAACGTGACCCCCACATCCTTTTGAGCCACGTTGTGGAGCGTTGTTGCCTTTGAATCCATTTTAATCTGTTTGTTAAAGCTCGTGTTCCAGGGCAGGCTGCAATCATTTGCTGTACCCCGTTCCTTCTCTCAGCAGTGTCCCATCTGGGTGTGAGTGATTGTGCCTTACTGTATATACAGATATATGTGTGCCTGTTTAGAGAAAGTATGTGTGTCCCCAGCAAGGGAGTGGAAATCCAAAGGAGAAACAGAAGAAATAAATGATGGAATAAAACCAACCCAAAATCTGTGTGTTTCCTCCTGGGGAGATGAAGGAGCCTAAGAGAGGATGGAGAAACCTGGTAGCAGCAGACAAAATAGGAGAGGCATTTGCAGTGCCAATGGAACGGTTTAACATTTGATTTTTATTTAATTTGTGGGATTTTTTACTTTTGGGGAACAGTATTAACCAATGTGCTTAATCCACAAAGGAAGGTGTTCTTTGGGGCAAGCAGTGGCACCGGAGACTGCCACACTCCCCGCCCCAGCTCTGCAGGAATCTGGGAAGAGAAGAAGGCAAAGCTGTCTGACCTACTGCCGTTTCTCCAACAGCTCCCTTGTTCAGGGAAAGCATAAAAACAAACCAAACCCAAGGTGACACACACTGATCCTTCCTGGGAGAGTTCCCAGCTTCTGGCAACCAACACTTTAGAGACCTTCTGTGCCAGAAGTTGCATCACCAACTTCACCCTTGATGGTTTTACAAGTTGCAGTCAAAAAGTTTTGGCCGAAATGTAGCTCCCAGCTTGGCTTGGTGTATGGGGTGGGGGCACCATTCAGTCCCATGTTAATGGCTGACACTGGAGTGTGCGATGTCAGGTGTAAGGACACTGATGGTTCAACAGGAAAATGCCCTCAGCAAGAAAAATCGGATTAAATTGATGCAATTCCTCCAGTGTGGATGATAGCTGAAAGATTTAAAAAATAAATAAATAAAAGCACAAACCTTCATGGCCAGAAGACTAAATTTAAACTTGGGAGGGAAGGATGCAAAACAGGGCAAGAAGAGATAGAGAAAGGAAGGCAGCCCGAGAGCAAGGAGACTGTTCCTCACAGAACCACAGGTGTGTTTGGCCGGGATCTTGCTGGTTTATGGTTATTTTTTGGTGGGGCTGTGTTTAAGCTGCACTGTGAGCCACAGGGCGGGTAAGGGCTGAGAGCAGGTGCTGGTGGAAGAGGGTTTTTTGGAAGCTGTGGGATGCAAGGGAGGCTGGCACAGAGGTGTGGAAACATGGCGGGGGAGCGTGAGGGTGACAGGAGGCACTGGCGGGACACAGCACACCGGGATGCAGTGGCGGCCACAGCCGCGGGGAAGCG